TGCATCAAAATATGGGATCGGGCGTATGCCCGGAATCGAATTCGGAGGTCCCTAGTCCGAGTTATGATTTTTTGTTAAAAATTATAAGTTTGAAAATTTAATGGTTTTTAAGAAATTATTAATGTTTGATCTTGTTGGCATCGGGTTCGTATTTTAGATCCGGAGCCTGGTACAGGTTCAATATAATATTTATGTCATATCTGTGAAATTTGATAAGAAACGGAGTTGGTTTGACGTGATCCGGAAGTCTGATTGAGAAAATAGAAATTTCGAAGTGTTCTTAAGAATTTTATTCGATTTGGTACTAAATTCGTAGTTCTAGGTGTTATTTTGACGATTTGATGGCGCGAGCAAGTTCGTATGATGTTTTAATACTTGTGTGCATGTTTAGTTTGGAGCCCCAAGGGCTCGGGTGAGTTTCGAATAGGCTACGTAGTGAAAATAGGAATCTGAACACTGCTGGTTTTTGTTGCAGGCCTCAGATCTCGCAAATACGAGGTCAATCATCGCATTTGCGATCTCTGAAGAGTTCGCAATTGCAAGCTTCTTATTGCAAATTCGAAGAGAAGCTGGTCCAGCTTATGTTCGCAAATGCGACCAATCCTTCGCATTTGCAATGGGGACAAGGGGAGGCAACCTTCACAATTGTGATCATCTGATCGCATTTGCAACCAGCTTAGTTCGCATTTGCGGACTTTTCTTTGCACTTGCGAAGAAGGCAAGACTGTGGGAATATTTGCAAATGTGATGAATTTCTCACAATTGCGGGCTTCGCAAGGTCGCATTTGCGACATCTGCAGCTGATGAAAAGAGACTTAGCTAGGATTTTTCTTCCATTCTTCAAATTTTCAAATCCTAAGAACCAAGACGCTATTTTCCAAAGACCTTTTCTTCCCCAAATCATAGGTAAGTGATTCTAAACTAGTTTTCTTCAATCTTTCACTTCATTTTACAAGATTTTAACCTAGAATCTAAGATTTTCGTGGTGGAATTGGGGATTTTTGAGTAAAAACTAGGGATTTCAAAATTTGGGGATTTAGACCTCAAATTAAGGTCAGATTCCAAAACCAATTATATATCCGGGCTCGGGGGTGAATGGGTAAAATAGATTTTGATCCGAACTTCGAGTTTTGACCAAGCAGGCCAGGGGTCGATTTTTGACTTTTTGGGGGAAAGTTTGGGAAACCTAAATTTATGTATTGTAATTGATTTTTTAAAAATATTTGATGTTATTAAGTTAATTATGGCTAGATACGAGTGGTATGGAGGTGGATACTAGAGGAAAACGGTAATTAAGTAGTGAGTGGCCTGAGGATCGAGGTAACTGTCGTGTCTAACTTTGACTCGAGGGATTAGGAACCCTTAACTTAATTACTATGTGAAAATCCATGTGAATGGTATATAGGTAAGGTGACGAGTACCTATGCGCCGCTAATTTACCATTTTGCCTGTTTCTTTCCCGTTCTTTTTATATTGTTTCTACCCTACTTTAATTGTTACATGCCTACTTGTACTTCCATGTCTAACTGCTACCTGTTGATATTGTTTCACCTTGTTGAAGATAATTGTTGTACCGTAGTTTCCTTATCCCCTATTACTTGTTTAAGCTGTTCATAATTGTGCTTTGGTGACATTCTGGGTTGGTCTCTATGTGCAGTATTATTCGTGTAGATTCTATATTGATTGACGTTTCTTTTTCTTAGTTCAGTTTGGTAATTATTTATCGGAAAGGCCTCGTGATTTAGCCTGTTGATTTTGTACATTGAGTGTTTGATTTTGATATGGTGGGATCGGGTTGCACGCCGCAACAAGTATAATAAGGGTGGATTGATATTGTCAAATAAGGGTGAAATTGTGATATTGATATTGATATATGGTGGCATCAGGTTGCGCGCTGCAACATATATATATATTATTTATTGTTATTGATATTTTTATGATGGAATAAGGGAGGATTATGTGTTATCTGGTGGGATCGGGTTGCGCGCCGCAACAAGCTATATGTTTCTATTTCTTGAGCTGCATTGTTTTTACGATATTTTTGTTTGAACTTGTGAGATTAATAATATTGGGCGATACTGGTTTATTTTCGTGGTTGTGGTTATCATTTCCTGTTGGATTTTTAATTCTATACTGTATTTCAATTATTCTGTCATTATTATACACAACGTACAGGTTTTATCGTAAGTGGCCCGCCTTAGCCTCATCACTACTTCGTCGTGGTTAGGCTCGGCACTTACCAGTACATGGGGTCGGTTGTATTGATACTGCACTCTGCACTTTCTGTGCAGATTTTAAAGCAAGTAGTGGCTGATCGAGAAGTTGGCTACAGATTTTTACAACTAGGAGACCCAAGGTAGTCCTGCTGGCGTCCGCAGGCCCTGACGTCCCCTTCTATGCTCCTACACTTACTGTTTTTACTTCCCTTCATAAACAGTCGTATTTTCTCTCGAACAAATATTTGTAGCAAATCTTAGTGGGTTCGTGGATTGTCACACCGGATTCTAGGTAGTAATAGTAATAGTAATGGCAATAGTATATAAACAAATAGGCTATTTACTTACTTCCGCATTTATTTTACCGGTTTTAGCCTATTTGTTGTTTATCACAGAAACGTAAAGGATTTGGTTAATAAAAACTCTAACGTTGGCTTGCCTAGCAAGTGTAATGTTAGGCGCCATCACGGTCCCGATGGTGGGGAATCCGGGTCGTGACAAAAAATTTCATCCAAACCCAAAATTTTTGGATTTGAAAGAAAAAAAACTCATAAATTTGAGGTTTATAAGAGGAATGCTTATTTTATGGAATTTTAAAATTTTGGAGTCTCTTTTTGAGTGATCTCTCTAGAGACAACATATAAAATAATAGAATAGAGAAAAAATATAAAAAATAATACAGTGACAGATAAAATATTGGGAGGTAGCCGACATGCCTGTGATTGAGAAAACGAAGTCCTCAATTGTAAAAAGGGAAAAAAGTTAAAAACTTCTGAGACTTTGACTTAGTAGAAGAAAATATTCTCTCTGTTGCACTTTATGTGACACTTACTATTTGAAGAGGCAATAAGATTATTATTTGATTTCTCCTTCAGTTCCCAATTTATTTGAATCTTTTCGCTTTTCGAGTTTCAAACTATGTAAACTTTGACCAGTATAATATTTTGATTTATTTATCATATTGACATGAGAAGAATTACAACTTATAGTAACTTTTGTATAGTTTTTAAATATCCAAATTTTAACTTCAAAATATTGAGTTAATCTATTCTAATTTAACTTCAAAGATTAGTTAAATTGACTCTCAAAACACAAAAAGATTCACATAAACTGAAATAAAGGGATTATTACTTATAGTACCTTTTGTATAGTTCCAAATATATATAACGTAACTGTTAGGTGTTGTCCTGATTTTCTTACCATACTTGATTTTCATATCTGTTGAAGGAAAGTGCAACATATTTACCATAATTGGTTTTCCGTTTTTGTATAAGGAAATTATAATTCTTCCATGTTTGGCTAGTTTTTTTCCTTGTAGGAAAAGGTTTGGACTTCTATAAATTGAGGATCCTTCCTTCTCATTCAGTAGCATCCACAATGTAGCCATATAAGGTTTGAGAGTCTTGTTTAAGAGAAGAACTTTACGGGATAAGTGTTAGTGTGTCACTTGTGTTTGCCTCTTCGTGAGGTTGTTCTCTCGATATTTTGTACTCTCTTTTATTATAGTGGATTGCTCATCTCCGCAGCGGATGTAGGTCAGTTGACTGAACCACATAATATGTTTGTATTTCTTTTGGTATATTTCTCTTTGTCGTATGATTTATCGTTGTTCAAGGTTTGTTTTGCTAGCTTCCGCATGACACCTCATTTTTTTCAATCCTAACAAGTGGTATCAGAGCGAGGTTCAAGAGATGATCATCTTGGTGGGTTCAGTTCTAGCTGCAACCTATTTGACGGTAATGTTGATTTTTGTCTGAAAAATTTGACCGGAGTGCTACGCACGTTGAGACAAATTTTATGGTGGGGATTTGGAGATGCAACCTGTTGAAGATTATGTGAAGAAGGTGGATCAAGTTTATTTTGTTAGAAAATTTGGGCCAAGAGGGAGAATTGTTAGGCGTTGTCCTGATTTTCTTACCGTATTCGGTTTTCCTATCTGTTGAAAGAAAAGGTAACATATTTACCATAATTGAGTTTTCCTTTTTTGTAGAAGAAAATTATAATTCTTCCATATTTGGCTAGCTCTTTTTCTTGTAGGAAAAGGTTTGGACTTCTATAAATTGAGGATCCTTCCATCTCATTCAGTAGCATCCACAATATAGCCATATAGGGTTTGAGAGTCTTGTTTAGGGGGAGAACTTTACGGGACAAGTGTTAGTGTGTCACTTGTGCTTGCCTCTTCGTGAGGTTGTTCTCTCGATATTTTGTACTCTCTTTTATTATAGTGGATTGCTCATCTCCGTCGTGGATGTAGGTCAGTTGACCGTATGTTTTTGTCTCTTTTGGTATATTTCTCTTTGTGATATGATTTATCGTCGTTCAAGGTTTGCTTTGCTAGCTTCCGCATGACACCTGATCTTTTCGATTCTAACAGTAACCTTCATTTTCTTTTAAAGTTTGAACTCTCTGAGTCCAAATTTATGTAGAAAATTAACTAGTTTTGACCCACATATGTAGTGGTGGAGCCACAACCAATGAGTAGAGGCGAAGTCAAGATTTTAAACTTATGGGTTCGGGATACTAATTGTTTTAAGTTATTGGATTCTAAATTAATAACTTTTATATATTCAATAGAAACAAAGCTACTAGGTTCGGCCGAATCCGCTCCCTGCACTCTAGCTCCGTCCCTGCCAATGAGGGGGATTCAGTTGAATCCCTTGGTGGGAAAATGTAGGTTGTAAGTTTGAAATTTTTATATCCCCATGTGACAGTCATCTATATAAACCTCCACCTGCTATCACTCTTTTTCCCCAAAAAGTACACTTGAGCAATACATTTAGCCCCATGGATGTTCAATTGTATTACTACCTGGCGTTTTCCTTAGTTGCCATATTCTTCAATCTTCTTTCAATATCAAGGAAAGGGCAGCCTTATCCAAAATCATTTCCCCTAATTGGTTCCTCATTGGAATTCATCAGAAATCGTCATCGTATTATCCTATGGATTAGTGAAAACTTTGACAAGTTATCAACCTCCACATATTTACTTGAAGGTCCGTTAGGTCTAAATGTAATATTCACTACAAACCCCTCAAATGTCAAGCATATCCTCAAGACTCGCTTCAATATTTACCGCAAAGAAAGTACACTAACATCAGCTTTATCAGATTTATTCAGGAAAGGCCTCTTCCTTGTTGATGGTGCCGAATGGAATTCTCAAAGACAATTTATCCGACACGATTTCAATCTAAAAATGTTCCCTGCTTATATATTTGTAACAGAGAAAGAGCTCTCGCGTCGTCTTTCACCTTTTCTAAGTACAGTAGCCAAGGGAAAAACTACCATTGTCGAACTTCAGGACATGTTTCGTCGCCTGACGTTTGATTTGGCATGTCAGCTTGGGTTTGGTTTTGATCCTGAATATTTATTACCGTCTTTGCCAGCAACTCCATTTGCAGACGCTTATGAAACAGCTGTGAAAATTTGCATAAGAAGAGTAAATACCTTACCTCTCATATGGAAAGCTACAAAGAAGCTTTTCAACACTGGTTTATACGCATGCTTCCATATATGAGAGCATGAGACTGTTCCCGCCCGTCCCCATTGATACAAAGGAACGAGAATAGTTTATCATATACTTGCAATGGGAAGGTCAGCCGAGTGATGCATGGGGTTCAGATTGGGCTGATTTCCGTCCAGAAAGATGGTTGGAGAAAAGTGCTGGCAACACAGGACGTAATTTCACATATCCAGTGTTTCAAGCAGGGCCAAGGACTTGTCTTGGAAAAGATATTGCAATCATGCAGATGAAAATGGTGGTTACCACTGTCCTAAAGCGCTTTCGGGTTCTGCCCGCTGAGGACAACTTTTCTCCAAATTATGATGCATCTATGACATCGAAGATGAAAGGTGGCTTTCCAGTAAGAATTCTAGAGCGTCATTAGCATTGATACTGTGAATGTGGTTCAGAGTCTTCAGACGATGACGACGATAACAACTAACAACAACAACAACGCCTCGGAGTCTTCAGACCATATGGCCAAAGATGATTTACATTCAGTTCGTTACATGTTTCATGAAATATAAATTATTTATATGAAATAATTCATATTTAATCATTCAAATATGAATATTAATAATCATTAATTAGTATAATCTAATTCTCGCGCCTGAATAACTAAGTCATATCTCTCTCAATGTTCTTGTCATTTCTCCAAACATTAGTATCCAGCATACTTCATAACACCTAAAAGAAAATGAGATAATCAAAGGCTTTCTAGGACAACAAAGAAGTGCTACAATTGAGCTCACAAATTATGTAAACAAAATAAAAGTAGCATATACTTTAATATTTTTATCCTTTTTTCATCCTCTATCAGCGGTAAATTTTATAGATGAACTGAATTATAGTCCACTACTTAATATTCCATAATTATGTCATGACTCTGGACAGCTGCAAAACAAAACAAGCCTTTTTAGTTAAATGTCACGACCTGAAATCTCAACCTCGGGGTCATGATGGCGCCTAACATTTACTTGCTAGGCAAACCGACGTGAAATAAAAAATTAACTGATTTTAACAAATTACAATAAGATATTAACAATGAAAATGATATAAGTATGAAGTAGAGTAAAATGATGCCGAACAACGAAGTCTAAACATAACCCAGAAGCTGGTGTCACGAGGTCATGAATATCTAGAGTGCTACAAATACGGTCTGAATAAAATACACTATTTTGAAACTCAATAAAACAGTAAAGATAGGAGGGAAGGGGACTTCAGGGCTGCGGACGCCGTGCAGTTGTATCTCAAATCTCCGTCAGCAACTGAATCCGAGCAAAAGCTACTGAACGCCGCTAGGACCAACTCCGGTATCTGCCTAAGAAGTGCAGAGTGTAGTATGAGTACAACCGACCCCATGTACTCTGTAAGTGTCGAGCCTAACCTCGACGAAGTAGTGACGTGGCTAAAGTAGGGCACTTACAATACCCTGTACGCAATAATAATAATAATAATAATAATAATAATAATAATAATAATAATAATAACAATAACAAAGAATAATAATTAATTATAATAATAATAATAACAATAATAATAATAATAATAATAATAATAATAATAATAATAATAATAATAATAATANAGTGCAGAGTGTAGTATGAGTACAACCGACCCCATGTACTCTGTAAGTGTCGAGCCTAACCTCGACGAAGTAGTGACGTGGCTAAAGTAGGGCACTTACAATACCCTGTACGCAATAATAATAATAATAATAATAATAATAATAATAATAATAATAATAATAACAATAACAAAGAATAATAATTAATTATAATAATAATAATAACAATAATAATAATAATAATAATAATAATAATAATAATAATAATAATAATAATAATAATAATAATAATAAAGAGTGCACTCAACCTCACTATTAGAGAATCCAGAATAACAAGTTTCGCAATCTCATATAAAAATGTCGAAGTCAACACAACAATAACAATAAGTACAACACACACAATCCGTTCTGGTGGCGCAACCCGATCCCACCGTATAATCATTTATCAATATCAAGTACCACGTATACAATCCGTTAATTGTGGCACGCAACCCATCCCACCATATCATAGTTTACCAACATCAAGTACCACGTATATAATCCGTTATGGCATGCAACCCGATCCCACCATATCATCATTTTTCAACATCAAGTATCCGCCCTTATTCCACCATTTCAATTTATTATCTTTCAATTTTCGTTACGGAGCAACCCGATCTCCAAACAATTTCAATTAACAGAAACAATCCAATAACTAAATTTATAAGAATTTCTACATCAAAGAGTAGAAGTGCACATCAATAAAAGACTACATAATAATCAAGGAATCTTTAAAATTCGAAATTTTTACTTTACAAGTTTATTGGTGTCTAACAAACTCAACGGCTCACGCAAATGAAACTGCATCTTAAAATGCAACAACCATTACAAAAATAATAGGACAAGTAAAGCATGTGACAATCAAGGTGTGCAAGTAGAAGAATTAAGGCAAGTAGCAAAATAAACACGGAGTCATAAAAGGGAAGAACAATTTAATACAAGAATAATTAAATGACAAATAACAATTACGGTATAGAAGACAAATAAAGCATGTAACAATTAAGACACGAGATAAGATAATTCATGAAATAACGAGAAACATGGAAACAAATATTCTGACGGTGTATATACACTCGTCACCTGGCATATATGCCATTTTCTCACATAATCCACACAACACATAGTTCAAAAGTTCCTAATTCCATCAAGTGAAGGTTAGATCCAACACTTACCTCACTCCGCAATTAAATCAAAGCTCAACCGGGTCTTTTCCTCTAAAATTAGCCTCCAAACCAATCGAATCTAATCAAATATAGATTCAAAATAAACTTTAAAAACTACTACCTACGAGTGAAAAAGATTCGATCTTTAATGATTTTGAAAAGTCAATAAAAGTAAATCTCAGGCCCTCTTGATCCAAACCCGAGATCCGGACCAAAATCCAATGACTCATTCACCCCCGAGCCCGATTATGTGATTAATTTTGAAATCCGACCTCAGTTTGAGGTCTAAATATTAATTTTTCAAAATTCTCAATTTCTACCTAAATCCCTAATTCTCTACCATGAAAAAGGGTAGATTAAAGGTTAAAATCAGTAATGTTTGTGAAAATGAAAGAAAACAAGTTAAAATCAACTAACCTACGAAGTTGGGATAAAATTCTCTTCAAAATCGCATCTAGGCCGAGCTTAAACTTGGAAATGGTGAAAAATGGGGTAAATCCCGACTTTTGAAAGTTTTAAATCATTGGCGGCAGGTCTTCTTCGCGTTCGCGAAGGACCTGACGCGACCGTGAAGCACAACGGCCCAGTGGCCCGCGTTCGCGATTGCCCTTTCCCTCTGGTCTTTGTGTTCGGGATCCAAGTTCCGTATTCGCGTAGAACATTAAATAGACCCTTTCCCAGACCCATAAACATATCGCATTCGCATGATTTGGGTCGCGTTCGTGAAAGGTAATCCTACTACTGCTTTGCATTCGCAACCTCATCCTCGCGTTCGCATAGAAACAATCCGCCCCCAGCCTAACTTCCCCTTCTCGATCGCGAGAGTTTCTTCGCGATCGCGATGTACATCACACCAGACACCACAAACCACTAAAAATCAGCAGTCGCTTAAGTCCGAAATGGTTCGTAGCCTATCCAAAACTCGCCCGAGTCCCTCGAGATCCAAACCAAACATGCACACAAGTGTAATAACATCATACGAACTCGTTCACATGATCAAAACACCAAAATAATACCTAGAACTATGATCGAACATCAAAATGTATGAAATTTTCAATAATTCAAATTTACAACTGAGCGTCTGAATCATGTCAAATCAATTTCGTTTTGAATAAAAAATTTCCGACAAGTCAATAATAGTAAAATGGACCTATACCAAGTTCCAAACTGAAATCCAAAGCTGATAGTTATAAAGTCAACCTACGGTCAAACTTCGAAATTCTTTAAACTTGCAAATTACTAGTTTTCAATAAATCACGTTAAATCAAGTTAGGGTCTTTCGAATTCAATTCCGAACATAGGCCCAAGTCCTAAATTACGATACGGACCCACCAGGACCGTCAAAATACTAATCTGGGTCCGTTTACACAAACATTGACCGTAGTCAATTCAAATTATTTTTAAGGTAAAAATTCACACTTTCTTCAATTTTTCACATAAAGACTTTCCGGAATGAGACACGGGCTGCGCATACAAATTGAGGAACGCTGATAATGCCTGATCACGCCCAACTCTAGTCCTAAAAAGGATAAGCGGTCGCTGCAAATATAATCCGGTCTAAAAGTCCGGAGTCGAATCCCACATAGAACTAAGGCTTAGATATCTGTTTAATATCACTAAAAAGACAAGTTTAAACAATTTTCTAAATTATAAAGATTGAGATTTATATTTCTATCTAATTAACTAGCAAATACTAGAAAACGGTAAAATTATCAACTAACGAGACAAATGGTTGGAGANCCTCTTAAAAATATCGTTTTTCCATGTATATATACCAAGTAGGGTCGGGCCTAAACAATTATACCTTCTCTTACGTGAAAAAGGACAATATTTCACGTCTGGACTGCCGCGGCCGCGGTCAAACGCGGTATATGGCAGGTATACTGCCTCAGCCCGCCTCAGCTCCGCGGTCGCGATTTCGACCGCGCTTTTCACCCTGTGCTGCTTTGAATTTGAAAAAACGTAAAAACATAAAATTTGTAGCCCTTTGCGTTAACTTTCCAACCATATATTGTGGAGTCCAAATGGAGTTCTGAGCAAAATGTTATGTGCATTTTACTAGACACTATGCAATATGCCTACTTGAGTCTTCGTTTTGTTGCTTTATCATCCGTTGATCCGCGAATACGATCCCGGCTTAATTCCTTGGGCTTTTACTCAAACGTCAAAGCTCTGAATCACTTGAATTCATTCCATAACATCTATATAGCTCGGAATCACTCCTACAAGGCATAAAACACACCGTTACTGCAAAACACTAGCGATTAAAGCGCAAACTCAACTAAAGTGCAGTAAATTAGAGTGTAATAATGGACTAAAATACGCAATTATAGCCTATCATCAACACCCCACACTTAAACTATTGCTCGTCCTCGAGCAGTCAAACTACACTTTATATAGACACGATCTTTTTAAACAATTTTCCTAACTCATCACACCAAGAATATTTAAAATAGACTAAGCACAAAGCGTAACATCTTCACCTCAAGATTTGACTCACAAGTATCACGCATTATTCACAACTCACCTACTTACTCTAACATAGAGGTCACTGACATTACCTTTCCTTCATGAATCAAGCGCCCTCACACAACAAAAGAGAGTAGTTCCACACAA